CCAACACTCGCAACCTGACGTCCACGTGTAAAGCTTCGGAATGCTCAAGACGGCATTGCCAGGTGCCCCTCTGCATGGCCAAGCCGGCGCAGAAGGATTCCGAGTCCGAGGCCCGTCGTGCAAGAATCTTGCTCTGGTGAGCTGTGCGCTTTGTGTACTCTGGGCTTTTGCGGAGGACGACGATGAGGAGCCGGGCGGCGACAAGAACATGCCAGCTGCGAAGGACAAGCCAGGAATAGCTGCGACGAAGGCCGATGTTAATCTCTATGAAGAGCTGAAGCAGATACAGCCGAGCACTGTCCACAAGTTGAAAGTCGCAGGCCGCAGCCAAGGCAGCACAGGAGTCGGACGAGGAGGACGGTAAGCAAGATCGGCATGATAAAGACTCATGGCACTGCCAGAAAGACGGAGTTCCAGTTTCAGGTGTTTCTGATAAACCTCTTGGGCCAGGAATGTTGCGGTGTAAGTTTTCCTGCCAGCTTCCACCCAAATATACTGGGTCGATTGCACTTGGCAGGGTTTCCAGTAAGCTTGCGCGACGTGTGCTTCAATCAAGACCAGGACGATGGGTACGATGGCGACAACAATTCGAAAGTCATCCCAGAGGCCCTTTGTGCTGCGATGAAATCAGTGCTTGATGAAGATTCAACCTGGAAAACCAAGTTGCAGAAATAACTGCCACCGATGCAAAGTTGCAAGTTTTCGTCGCGGTGGCAGTTTCTGGTTTTGGGAGTTGGGGACCAGAAGCACACGGGCCACTCAATTGTGGTTGATTCCTGTGTGCAAGCTGTGGGCTTGCTTCAGAGTCGGGCATTTCGGGGCCAAGGTTTGGGGTGACTGAACTTATCGACATCTTTCGGTCGCGATGCTCATGATGTTCTATCCCAACACCAAAGATAAGTCGAAGCAAGCATGTGGGAGCACGCTATCATGTATAGGCCATATATAAAGGCGACATTATAGTGTCGACAGCGGGTTAGGTTATCTCCTAGTTAAACTTGTGAATCCGCGACTGCGCCATACGCCTTATGCCAAAAGGTGTATTCCGAACCTGACACGCTGAATCGTTGCCGGTACTCGTATAGGGAGTACAATTTGTCACGAGATAAGACTTCCCTTGCAAGTCCAGCAAACCGGTTTTGAGCTCGCAGAACTCACAGTTCGTTGCTGCTCATTGTCAAACAGGCGACGAATTTCTTTGTGCGGTTTTCGCAGAGCAGGTTTGCGCAACATTGACAGCGATAACATCGCAAGGCGTAGCACGCAAGCAGTCACATATATTCGCCTCAAAGTTACGTAACAAGAGCAGTCCTAGAGCGAGCTCTAATGCATGGCGGCAGCCCGTCGTTCAGATCTACATTTAACTTGTTTAACTGCCACCTCCACACCCCAACCTGGTAAGGCAATCAATCCCCAAATTGCGAACTTGTCCTCGTCAGCATTTTTTGCACATGCTACTAACAGTCCTAGCTCAAAATCGGTTGGCAGTAGCCCGACTTGGTCAGAATGGTTTGCTGCTAACGCACCAACTCCAAATTGGGACCAAAACTCCCCCCGCACGGAGCCAAGAACTGAGAACGGCTTGACCAAGCTTCGGAGTTGAAGCTAGCTCTTACCAATGCGAACGTCGACGATGGGCATCCGTCACAAAGCGCTGAAACCAATCAAAATTTGACCGATTTCATACCTACGAGATTCTACGCCACTTTACGAGATTTTACGCCACTTTACGCGATTTTATGCCACCGCTGTTTTGGTAAAAACTGCAATAGACGAACATGAATTCGCCCGAAAGCACCAACAAGGTTCGAACACCAGTCACCGATTGAACCTGGCGCCGCTCCGATTATAGTATTCAATACAAAATATACCAGTTGCATAGGACATCCGTTTGACTACAATGGTCACCGATCCAGGCAGGCTGAGGGGAAGAATGCAGAAGGCAGAAGGTTCAGAGCTGTGCAGTTGGGATGTAGGGTCCAAGCTTAATATCCCGCATTGGGTTTGCAAGGAAGCCTCTACTCATAAAACTAGTACACCACATACGATTACACAGCCCCCACGTACAAGTATTGTCCATCCCTCCTACCTTTTTTGTCTTTGGCATGAGATATGAACATCGCGACCGAAAGCGAAGCCGACTAGTTCAGACCCTCAAGCCTCATCCCCGCAATGCAAGAGTAAGAAGCGGTGACTGAAGATAGTGCCCAGAACTGTTGACATGCTTGCAGCCTGTGGACCTCACGCACACACACAAACCAAAATTCCGCCATCGAAAGTTTTTGCGATAGTGATTGTTGTAGGTGGCTATGTTTTTCAAGTTGTGTATTCGCTGCACAATAAGGTGGTTCTCCAGCTAGCCCTTCTGAAGTCGAAGGTGACATAATATGCAGGCTGCTGCGTCGCGCGCATGCTTCTATTACAGGGTTGATGCGTCGGTTTCGAGGGTGGTGGGTCTTTTCGTGTATCCACTATTCGCTCTGGTATAGATCAAGGACTCCTGTGCGCATGGTTTTGGTTGACCCTTAACCTGATGGTTGCCCGTGCGTGCGTGCTCGGTATACAGTTTTTCGGTTTGGCCTCGGGCATGAGTTCAACGAAATTTAAACGGCTCAGGGACTTAAGTTGTCCACTCGCAAACGACAAAGAAGCTGCTGTTACCCTTTTTGCAGTCGAAATCGAGCATTTCACACATGTTTTGTATTTAAATCCACAATATTAGCAAAGTTGCTGTTTTTTTGGCTCAGTTGTATTTTTCTGCCACTGTCCTAAAGGCGCATGTTTTTTGAAAGTTGTCAGTTGTTTCTGCAACTTTGGCGCTCCAGGAATGGAGATCATCTTGTCTGCAAGGTTCCCCTTCAGGTAGATGGCGAAGCCCTCGTCAACAGGATGAATACGCACCCTGGTTCAGAATCCGACGAGCAGGAAGAGCTTGCTGCGTGGATATTGCGCAGGATTGGGTGATCAGCATGCCTTGGTGTTGCAGGAGGATGATGAACCCCCAGGGAGGCCAAAAATATTGACCGACGAGCTGCCCAACGTCAGTCCCCGTGATCGATACATGCGACCACTGTGGGAAGATCCCCCGCCGGTGGCGGCGATGCAACAAGCGACCGGGTTTGGCCAGTGCGAGTTAGAGCAGGGTAACAAGACTGAGCACTCAGGACCCAGATGTTCCAAAGCTCCTGGAGAGAGGCTTGCAGGGCTATCGCAGCTATGCCGAGACATTGCAGCAGCTGGGTCCGTGCTTGTTCTGGAGGTTTACTTTTGAAGTGTCAGAGCTAAGGAAGTGAAGCTCCTGATACAAGAGTTTCAACTGGCGAAGATCAGCATTGAAAATCTTCAAAGCGTTCGCATGAAACCGAAGTTGCTGATGGAGCATTTCGGGCTCACTTTGGGTGAGGCCTGAGGGCACGCAACGTGGTGCTTGTAGGGCGGTATGCGATCTTCATCCCCTGTTCATCCTCCAAATGCCTTCATGTTACAGCGCGTGGGTCTCCGGGACTCTGGGGTGGGCGGAATGTTCCTGGCCGACAGCCGGGTTCTGTGACTGGATGTCACTGGCTGCCCCAGCTCACTCTAACGCTTGCCCTGCCAAGCAGGTCCTCAAGCCCAGCCATGCAGGAGCCAAAACAATGCTTACCCTCCCCTCCCCCTCCCCCTCTCCTCTCCCTCTCCCTCTCTCTCTGTCTCTATCTCTGCCTATCATTTCCCTGACTGTAGTTCTGTTTCCCTCCATCAACGACGAACAAACGGCTGGGAGACACAGGATGACTCAAGTCGCCAAGCACTGGAGGTGTCCGCATGAGTTTGTGGAAAAGAAAGAGCGGAAAGCCAACACGGGAAACAGAATCCTCGCTGCTGGGGGCGCCTCCGAAAGCTAGAGCACAAGCATGAAGTGGCAGACAGAGAAACCGGAGCTCCTAGACTGCAATACCAAGTTCCGAAAATTTGTGCAAGATCACCGAAGCGGGGAGACCTCGGCTTGCGGTGCCCGCAGAGGGAACAGTGTGGTTCCCACTCTGCCCTAGCTCGAAGAGGGCGGCGTGATAGCGCATGACTATGAAGAGAACAGACGGGGCGTTCTGCCATCAATGCGAGACAAGGACGACAAGAAGAGAAGAAGAATGGGTAGACAGTCAGATGGTAACGGGTGGATAGTCTTGACAAGCTGGTGCATGCTCTTGTGCCGAGCCCGCCAACGTCTTCAGGCCACGGCATTGATAGACTTGGCAGTGCAGTCCTCAGTCCTCCATTGACGACTCGCGGGCACGTACAAGTATCGTGAGCAAAACAGCACAGGGAGAGTCCCTTCAACGAGTGCGCTCTGCTCAGGACCCAAAGACGACTGTGGAGTCGCTTGGGCTTGTAAGACGGTTGACAGAAGTGTCGGGCAAGCCCACCTACATTCCTAGATGTTTTCAACCCAGGCAAGCAACAGCCATCATCGCCGGTGGCTGCCGAAAGCGCAAGCTTGCCGTGCTGGAAATTCCTGTGCCCCGGGCGCGACCTGAGCCAGAAAGCAGCCAAGAAGACGACACGGCAGGACAGGTGTCAGGGTTGAGTGTGGACCAGGCGAAACGTGACAAACGACCAGGCATTAGTCTCCAAATTGCAAATCATTGGAAAGCTCGGCTAACCTGCTCACCTGCTTGACAGGAGGCCACGCAGAGGCCACGCTGGTTATCCACAGGGCCAGGAGCAATCGATCGAGAAGCGTCAGAAGCCCTCCAATCAGCCGAGCAGCGCGACGGCGAGCGATTTGGCAGACGGCGCAAAAGAAGCGAGCACCGTGCGTGAGCGCTTGCAGCCAAGCATGAAGTGGCTAGTCGCATGGATGCATGTTCTCGCGTGTATAGTGTGTGTGTGTGTGTGTCATGCAGGAATAATGAGTATGTGCCACTTGATGCCATTGCCACGCACATTGTCGTCGCTCAGCACAGCTTCCGTTGTCTGGCAGTGTCCGAGTTGCGAGAGCGTAAAGCTTGTGGAAGCGGCAGGTGTTTTTTTCGACACGGGGACCTTGCCGTCACATGGCCACTTGCTTGCAATGCAGGGGGAGGAGTTGTTGAAGCTACCACGAGTTGCTAGTTGAATCGGAGCTTTTTTCCAGCTATCCAGGGTGCGTGGGGTCGCCCCAGCCAGTGTTGTTGCTCGCAGGTCGATCGGCAGGGTCGGCGGATTTTGCATGATTGCGGTGAGGTTGCCCGGCACAAGATGTGGAATTCAGTCCATGTCCCTGATGGGTGCTTTTTGCTTTTGAACTGCACTGACATGCTGTTACAAGGCCAGTTTCCGTAAAATCTCAAGCGAGACTCCTTGCAGGCATTCCGCTTCCGCTCCCGCGGAGTGGCATTTGGATGGCATTGCTCCAGGTGCTGCCAACTGCCCGGGGCGGGTCCAGGGCTACATACTGGATGTGTTGGCTTTTTGTCAATTCGAGAGGTGCCACGCCCTGCATCAGACAGAGGGGTTGCTTGTGATCCCAGAGCCCCCGGCGCGCACACTTCCACCACTTCCACCCAAAAAAGCAGTTTGGCCCTTCGCGATGCATCAGACGCACACACCCGCATACACAGTTTCAGATATCTTCGGGTTGACTGGTGGCCAACCCCCTCCAGCATCTAGGCTTGTGACTTTCTATCCTGAGAATGACTGGGTAGCAGCCAGAATATTTTTTCTGTGAGAATCCTGCGAGGGGCGCTCTTGCTGTGAGCGGCACGGATCCTCCCTCGCTACTTGTGATTGCCCCCGGTTCCTGACAAAGTGCTTCAGGCGCTCAGGCCCCAATCTTGTCTGACACCTTTCCACAGGAACGGTGCAGGCTGGATTGCCCTCTCACTCCCTGAGTGCTTTTTGCACAGACTTCTGACCAGTTTCCTCACAAGAAACTCCCCAAGTTTACTCTCAAGCATCCTGACAAGATTCCCAATGATTCCCCGTAACGCAATAAACTCACAAATCTAGCCCGAGGGAGTGGAACCCCGAGGAATGCACGAGCTGCAAGCACAGGCCTTCGAGCATCCTCTGAGCAAGTAACTAGCAGCTCACCCGTGCTGCAAACAAGGTGCCCCACCTCCAACTTTCATTTTCTGGACTTGCATCATGGCTCCCCCTCCGATTCCAAAAAAAGTGAGTCCGGCAGGGAGACTGGGAAGGGTTGGCGTGGTCACCAGGGCAAACTTCGTCACCCGGAAGTCCGCCATGGCCGTGGGGCTTGAAATCTTATAAAAGGGTGCTGGTCACGGCTGTCTGGCTTTGTTGCTGTTCGGTTGTCGGCGTCTCGAAGACTGGTTCGGGGACTGCAATCATTGTCAGTGGTTTGCGCGGTTTGCAGTATTAGATGCCTCAAGCCTCTTTGAACCTGAGATTCTATCATGGCGGTCTGCTGGATGAGGCATGGCCCACGGCTGCCTGTGCGCTCTGCTGCGAAGGACTGAATTCGTACCTCCCTGGAATGATGTAGTAGACTGCATTGTTCTCTTCACACGCACACACGCACGCGTCTCCGCGCACCTCGATATTCTGAGTTCGTGTCTTTGGCTGGGAGGGCCGTCTTGGCAAAAGACTCACTCCCTGCCGCGAGGGCATCGTCTGGAGCTTGGCCAAAGCTTGCTTTTTGTTTGGCAATCTTCCTCCACAATGTAGCCATGGTAGCAGCTACAATCTCCGTGCCACCGAACGGAATCATCGATGTGTGGTACCCGAGCTCATTCCAGAAGGGACTCCGCTCAAAAGATTATGCAGTGCTACGCAAACGTCACCGTCTGTGAAGTCAGTGTGGCTTCGGCTATTGCCTTCATCGGACAGGCTCAGACAGTGCTACCAGCTCCAAGATGGGACCTGCTAGTCTTAGTATTGCGGACATTGAACATCTATTTGCATGTCTGATGGTGCCACACTGTGCCTCAGGCTTGGTCCATTCTGGTCGCGAATGGACTGCACTTCGTGAAGGTCTCCGTTGCTGGCCTACCCTCTACAAGAAATGATGGGCAGCCGAGTTGCGTTGGAAATGAGTTTCGTTTCGAAAAGTTTCGAGTGCTGGCATGTTCCATGTGGAGTGCAGCTTGTAAGCAACAGGTGCTCCCTGAATGGTCGTCGATTGCCTCAGCGATACAACATTGACAGGCTGCCGCTTTGCTGCCTGCTCGTGTCGGTACAGGAAATGCATCGGAGCGTATGAATGAATGCGTGAATGAATGAATTCACTGAATTGAATGAATTCATGAATCGAAATGAAATAATGAATTGCTTCAAATACTGAAACAATACTGAATGAAGTGCCGCATACAGGGTTGTCTTAGTATCCAGATGTACCTTCAACGAAGAAGTCGCAGGAGTTCACCTTGTTTACTGCCCAGACAGGGCCTGGCGGAAGCAAAGAGGAGCCTTCGACAATGCGGTCGAGGTGCATAGACCAGACCCACCGTCTGCAAAAACCGCATGCTGCAACCTCTGTGCCAGGCGATTGCCTTCACGAGCATCTTGTCGGCAGCCATCAATTCAACAGTGGCTCAGCGTTGTTGCATGCACACTGCAGACTGGATTTGCCTGTTGCATCCACTTATGATAAGCACCACTACTCTCTCTAAGGAGTCATCACATTGACCGTCGGACGCCGTTGCGCCGGGCCCGAGAAGCTGATGTTCTTGCAGATGTCCAGTCCCGGAAACCCATCCTGCCAGGGGCCTAGCGCTTCGCATCGCTGCATGGACCTGAGCTTGTTTTACTCTGAGGTTGGACAGCTGGCCGCAGCTGGCACCACTGCTGTGCTGTGGGTGCAGGCTGCTTTGACACAGGCTCGCAGTAGGATCTTCAAGCATATACGTGACAGGCCCTTGGGGATGGCACGGCAGAGAGAGATACGTAAGAGGCCCTTTTCAGGTTCACTCCCCGCCGACATCTTTCTTAGCTTCTGGCAGTGCAGGGGTGGGCAGCAGCAGCTAGTTGCAGATAGTCCCTGGAACGCGGTGACCACACAGCCGAAATTCTCCGGGGCTGTCCCGGTGATCGTCAGTCAATCACTTGCCAGTTCATCCTTCTCGTGACAAGTGTAAACAGAAGGATTTTGCAACTGCAGTGATCGCGTCTGGAGTCTGCCGGGCATAGCTCCTGACAAGGTGCTGATCCGACCTTCGAAGCCTGCTGCCGCCAGACCTTCGAGTTCCAGGCCTGATGTGGTGCAAGGCATCTCGGCACCGGTCGCTGGTCCACCTTGAGGCACCCACTGCCGGTGTGGTGGCTGCAGTGCAGCTAAGGCCCGCTCCCTGAATTCCTATCCTTTCAGTCGTGCCAGCGTGAGAAGAGTTGTGCGTGTCAGGCCAAGTCACCTTCACCCTGCATCCTTGCAAGCCATGGATCCGAAGAGCCAGCATTCACCGAATGCGGGCAGGGGACTGCTGAATTTGCTGAATTCTCCTTTGTGGTTTCACATGACATGCTCTATCATGCTCCGTCCCCGAATCAATGCAGCAGGTTTCTTCCGGTGCTTCGGCCTCGCCTCAAACTTCTTCAACCAGAAGCCGGAGCTGCCGCCCTGGCCTGCGCCGCAGCGCTGTCCCGGAGGATTGGACATTTTCCCCATCGTTGCTTGCATCTACGTACAGTAGTTACTCTTAGTTGGTTCTAGATTCTAGTTGCATGATGTTGGAGAGTTCCATCTCCAGCCAGCATTCTTCTCGAACTTTCTCGACTTCGGATTTGAGCTTTGCAGGTTGGAGTGTGTCTTGGGCAGTGGTGCATTCACAGGTGCCCCGCAGCCAAGGCTATTGGCATCGCAGACGAGCTCATAGTGCCGCTCAGCGGCCTTCAGCCTAATTGCATGCTCAGAGACTTTGAGACGGCGCAACTCTGGACAAGGTAGGGTAGGTGCTCGAAATTCGGAATGCCAGGCCATGCATTTCAGTCAAGAGCTTCGACTATGCTTTGGCATGGCCTGGTGATCGCAGCACTTACACGTTCAATTCGCAAAGCCGCGATGACACCGCTGGATACCACGAGCATCTTCGGCAGGCTTGGATTCAATTCTCAGTTTCGGTTTGGGGAACTTTGCGAGCTCGCCCACCGGTTGCTGCTCATTTGCAAGCTCAACAATCAACAGCTGACGGAAACATCCTCGAGACGTGGATCCATCCCACGGAGATGGTGCTGCAGAAGCAGGGAGGGAACTGTCTCGAGGATCCTGCTTCAACCACATTCAGATCCTAGAGAAGGTGTCATTTTTGATTGCGATGAGCCGATCCTCTCAAGACTTGTCGCGAAATCCACGTGACGGATCCTCGAGACAGCTGCCGCTATTCGGACCCGAAAGCACTTAGGCAGACACACCGCCCACGGATACAGACACCAAGCACCGACGATACAGCAACCTCCAGTCATGCGGAGCATAAGACTATGACAGCACACACGCGGCAAGCACAAAGGGCTGCCTGATAGTGCAAGCTGCTCCTTACCGATTGCGTCTAGGCCTGGTTCGCCATCACTCGGCCGAAGGGCGGGTGGGACTGCCTTCGCCACTATGAGATACTAGCCGCAGGAGCTGTGCAACGCTTGCTTTCTCCAGCGTCAGCGATGCAATTGCGCAGGATCTTTGCCGTATTTCGTGGACTTGGCAAGGCAACTCGCACTTACAAGTCTCGACATGTAACAGGAAAAGATTGGACTCGCTGGGAGTTCTCCTTCAGAATGTGTCGAGTTTTGATGCTGCAGTCAGCAGGGCCCCATCTCGTCAAATTCCGTTCTTGCCAATCCACCTACTCCGCTGCTGGGCTGCAGAACAGTATTAGCAGATCAGGCTACACAAGAGACTGCGTCGGTCGCCTCTCAGGAGTTGCAAAGACCTTGCCGGGAGTTTATGAGGGGCGCTTGGACCCAACGGCCTTCAACATCCGCGCCTGAGCTCGAGGAGTGGCTGGAGGGCTCGAGCACTGGTGAAGCGTGGTTTCCCATGACTGCAGCCAAGGCGAGTACGTCGAGGCAGCTGCCGCTCTTCTCCGGTACACCAAACATCGCCTTGCAGCTTCCAAGCTTGTGTGGGCCTTAAGCTTCTTCCGCTCCCGCTTTGCTGCGAAGTGGTTAGGCCTGTTTTGGGTCACAGAGGGCTCGAGAGTTTTCGATTGCATGTGCATGTTCGCCATGTGGCCTCGACCTATTGGCCTTAGCCGCCTCAGCCTTGACAGGCAGAATATTTGCTGAGCCATCTGCAGATGAAGCGCGGCTCTGTGCTCTTCCTTTTGCCTCCAAAGGGTTTCCAAAGAGGAGGTGCGCCTGAAAGCATGAACGGCACAATTGAGCACCGTGTCATATATCACGTTTGTTACTGCCTGGCCTCCCGCTCAAAGCCCAGGCTATGTTTCGCGAAACATGTTCTACGGTTTGCGAAAGATTCTGGGGCCTGCAAGTGTCGGGCTCCAAGCGCGCATGTTCTCGCAGTACTTTTGCCTATGTGCTTGTTTCATTGCCTCTCTGAGGTTGTTGACTATCCCCACTTCGCGGAGATGTATGCGGCTCACGGAAGGTGGTCTCGTAAACACCGCAGACACTGCCGCAGACAGGCAGACTGAGTCTGGACTATAAGTGCCAATGCAAGCGAAAGGACCGACATGTCGACCACCGGGCTGCTTGACACCCCGGTCGTGCGATGGAATTCTAGCCAAGTGTAGCCCGGCTGATCGTTGAAACACAATCAAGCTGCTTTTTGCTTCGTGTTCTACGCAAAAGATGGAGTCACCGCAGGGAAGATCGGCTCAGATCACGTGGGTCCGAGGCTTACCGGCTCCAGGCAGCAGATCGATGTTGCAGAGCCCTGCAATACTGCAGGTTTGGTGCCGTAATCTACAGCAACGCGCGAGCCCCTTTGCCGTCCCCTGGGTAGCATTTGCGGTGTGAAACATCATTGTGGGTTGTCTTCACACCAGCAGAGATCGAGAGAGTGCGACAACCGGTTTTCTGCCCATGTCGAATGTCAACACATCTCAGCGGAGTTTACCACTGGCAAGGGAGCGGCTGACCGGGACATGTGTCCTTTTTCGAGGTCCTCAGATTGCGGACAGGATCGAGCGAGAGAGAGAGAGAGAGAGAGAGCGAAAGAAAAGCGAGCAGACCTCCAGATTTGTGGAGCTCGCAAGGTTTTGGGAGCTCGTGGCGTCACTGTATGCTCCGGAGGAGGCTACGTGGCCCAAGCTTCACAATACGTATGCAAACCGGACATTCGGTCGAGCTTGTGTACGATCGTCCCACAAACGGGAGGTCGCTTTCCTGGATGGATTCGACCATACAAATGGCTCCACGATTCTACGTCTGGCGCCATATGGCAGGCAGCTGGCACCATCTGGCACCCTTGGACAATGAAGCGCAGTGAGGATCAGTGCTTACTCCGAGGTATTTCGTCCGTGAAATGGAAGGTTGCCCAACGGGGCCCCATGCAGTCAAAATTGATGGCGAGGCCAGCGCGTCGCAGGAAAAAAGCAGCGATCGCAGTTGCCAGAGTTATGCGGAACGCGTGCAAACTGCCTTGGGTGGACATTGAAATCGCGCATGTTCTGTACAGTGTAATATAGTGTACATGACCAAGGGCGGAGAAGTTGCGCAGACTCTTCGCAGTTGCTTGCTTCGCAAGGGTCCCAGCTGTCCCTTGGAAGGCCATGCAGGTGCCATGCACTGCTTTTCGAAGCTGGTCTGTTTGCTTAGGTGTTTCTCGAAGAAGCGATTGCAGCCACCGGAGCGGCTCGAGAGTGGGGATCTACTGCGTACCTCGAGCTTCTGTTCATACCACTAGGGCCAAGACTGTTGGCATTGTTGCCGACGCATTTCAAAACCGACACGTTCCGGTCAGGTGGCGAGTTTGCTAAGGTCCTTGTCAGCACCGTTTGGAAGACCACGTATACAGTGATGTATGCGTGCTGCGCAGGAGCCGGCGTTGTGCTGCCGCCAACGCTGTTAGGCAAGCGGTCTTGCTTATCTCCAATTGAAAATGTTTGTGACTAACTGCTAGGACCCGGATCTGCTAGGCATGCTGCTGCTGCTGTTGTTGTTGTTGCCGCCCCCAATGCTGTTAGACTTAAGCGGTCTTGCTTGTCTCGAACGTACATTCCTAGGCATGCGGGCAGATAATACTACGTAGCAATACTGATAATGGTACCACGGTAGAATAAGTGTTAGTGGTATTGTCGTCGTCGTCGGGGTTACGTCGGCTGCGGACGAGGCTGGCGGCGTCAGCCGTTGCGCTTGTGGTTGTGGTGTCTGTGATGGTTGTGTTTGTTTGTTTTTATGTTTGCGTGCGTGCGTGTGTCAGTGTGTGTGCGTGCGTGCTTGCGTTTGTGGATACGGCACAGTTTCAAGCACGGACGATCCCGGCTTCAATCACCGGCACTACTCTACCCGGCCCTACCCCACCCTACCATACCCTACCAAACCCCTACCCTACCCCTGCTTGCCCGAGACTCCCTAGACAGACTAAACCCAACCCTCCCCTGGCCTACCCGACCCTGTCCTGCCTTAGCCAGCCCTGAAGGTAAGGTCCCAAGCAAATCCCAGACAAGCAGCGGCAGCAGCGGCAGCAGCAGCAGCAGGAGTAGTAGTAGTAGCAGCAGTAGTAGTAGCAGCAGTAGTAGTAGTGGTAGTAACATCGTAGTAGTAGTAGTAGTAGTAGTAGTAGTAGTAGTAGTAGTAGTAGTAGTAGTAGTAGTAGTAGTAGTAGTAGTAGTAGTTGTGGTCACGGTAGCAGTGGCAGCAGTAGTACCGTCTTAGTAGCAGATGTGGAAGAAACAAGTATCACTGGCATTAGCATATAGTAGTATGAAATCATTGTAGGTAGAACTTGTGGTTCATGATTAGAGTTTAATTCTTTTCGTAGTAGTAGTTTGGCTTTTGTTGTTACTGCCGGCATCAGTTTCATGTCCGTGTTCCTGACTCTTGATATTGCCATTTGCCTTCTTCGTGGTCTTGTTCTGATCTCAAGATTCTTTTGGATATGGTTTTCGCAAGAGATTCGTGCCAGAGATGCAAAGAGTGAGTGAGCGTGTGTGTGTGTGTGTGTGTGCGTGCTCTGCAGTCGAGACAGCTGTTAACGGTAACGAGTTCACGATTGCGCAGAATGGCGACATTGCCCTCATTGTGAGGCATGTTCGGTCTTTTTGCGGTCCTGCTTTGCCTTGACAGTCTTGGCTGTGGCCTTCACCCTAAATCGGGTCGGAGTGCTGCACATCGCAAGGGTGTTTGGTCATGTGGGTGTGCACACTGCACTCAACTCCAAGGCTACACAGCAGATTCTTTGTTCCAGCGCGGCGCTTGCTTGGAGACCGGGCCACTCTGCATGTCTCAGGGTTTGGAACAGTGGCAGCGTCCCTTCGACCAAGGTTCTTAGCTCCAGGCTACAGATTTCTGTTGAAGTGGGCCGAGAGCTTGGCTGTGGACCTCATCCCCTGATTCTTCTTCGACACCACAGAGCAACGAGAGTTCGTGGCATGCACCCGATGACTGTACTCCAGCTTCCATGCTGCAAGAACTGCTTTCTAGGCTCCCGTCTTTTTTACACCTGCATTGGTGGCAGCCTGAGCTCATGGCTGTAGGCTAGAAAAGCTGAAGCTTGCGGCCCTACGAGGTCAAACTTCCGCTTGTCGAGGATGGCGTGGCATGTTGGCACACCTTTGCCTGCTTTGACCTTGACGCATGAGATCCCCAGGAACCAGTTTCGGGTAGCGAGCTCTTTCGCCTGGCACTTACAGCAGATTCTGAGCTGCCAGGGTAGCAAAATCTCGAATCTTTCTGATATTCTCAAGGGTGCGACGGGTTGCGAGGCGTCGCCCTCCTCATCGCATGCGGAGGCGTGCTGCAGATGGGCTTTGCTGCCTCCTCAATGCAGTTTTTTGCTCTTACATGTCCATGCCCTTCGGTCTCCTGCTGCCCAGGTGGCCGTAGTTGCCATATCCATCGCGTCGCAGCAGTCCAGCGATATGCCGAAGGCCTCCGTCCGCTTCCGTGCTTGAAAGCTGCTCGTGCGAGAGAGCTTTCTGACTGCCCTCGCCCTGTCTGGAAGCAACAAGGGCGAAGTGGTGAATGCCGGTCACCCAAAATCGAGTGAGCTTTTTCATGAATGTTAAAATGATCTTGGAACGGATGTTAGAACGCCCGAACAGGCATTGCCAGGGATGACTCCAACAAATGGACGGGTCGACAGCTTGGTCCGGAATCGTCCCGGAAAGTCATAGCCGAAAGCAGAGCCATTTCAGTCGTGATCTTCTTTTGTTTACTGTTAACAGCTGCTCAAGCACCACTTGAAAGTGTCGCCCAGGAAGCATACCCCAGACCTGGCAGGCAGAGCTTATGAGAGCTTGCATTCTAACAAAATCTTGCTAGCAGCAGGCCAGCACTTTGATCAGTTTGGGTCTCTTTGGGGATTTGGGGGCTGTTGTCATAGTGGCCATCCGATTCTGACTGGAATTGGACCCGGACCACTGGCTCGACCATGTCCAAACCAGCCTTCTTGCATTTTGCTCCGTTGTACGAGTAATAACGCAGGCCCTTCAAGAGGCGATGGCTGCCGGTCTACGGAATCATCATGCTAGCGGCCGGGTCCTTGATCGCTCGCCAGGACTCCTTGAGCCTTGGGGCCTTGCCTTCTTTCAAGGCTGCTGACAAGCATCTGCCGTGACAGGCAATTCTTTGCCTAAAACGTGGCCGTGCGCATTGCGCTCGGTGCGTTTCTTAGTAGTTTGTCGTGATCTCCAGCTCCAGTACATGCCGAGGTGTCAGACAGTGGAGGTTTCCTTCATGCTCTGCGCATCATTGTTGTCCTTCGTTCTAGGCGGGAGAGAGCTGAACCTCCGTGTTTTCAGACCCCAGATACTGTACCAGCTTAACGCGCAGAAGTCAGCATCGAAGGTAACTCTGCGCCACCAGCCTTCAGGGCCATTCTTCACCCGATCTTCGCAGGTCGGCCTGCAGATTAAACTCTCCGAGCTATCCTTTTCAGTGCCGGAGACATGAGATGAGATTGAATTCTCTTTGAAAACCTCCGCGGTGTCGAGGTGTTCTCGGCTCATGGCTGGCCATCGCACTCTGGGCGTCGCAGGTCGCTTCCGTGTTTTGTTCTCTGCATGGGTCCGTTGGGGACCTGGGAATTCCAAAAGCTGGAACCTTCGGGTCGGTTCAGGAGAAGATTAGGATGCAGCAAAGTGTGCCCAGCATATCAAACAGGAAATGAAGTGTGGTCTGAGTGTGGTCAAGGCACTGCATGCATCGAGAGAACAGCACCTTTTGACAGGACGAATCACGTTCCTTTCACGAGGCCAGCAGCTTGGAAACTTTGCATGGATGGCCGCCAGAGCGTAATGGATGAGCGACCTGAAGACAGTCCGGCTCCTGCAGCGAGGGGTGCTTCAAAGTTCAACCTTACAAAAAAACATTCGCCTCGGAAAGATTGCCTGGCCAGTTTGAAAAAGACCTGCTTTCTTTCTCATGCTCGGCGTTCTGTGGCAGGTGGCAGTCGAAAGCAAAATGCATGCATGCGCATACAACACCCGCGCCCTCTAACTCCACAAATAACGTGTAAACTTAGCTTGCTGGACTGCGTCTTGCGAGACAAGTTGATAGAGAAGGCCGTCGATGGCTGTGGCGACTAGGAGAACCTGTCCTGCTGCATATGGGCCAGACACAGATGCCGCTGGCCCAATGACTCGTGACTCCTGGACTGTTGGGAGGGCGCTTCGACCAGCTTGGGTCCCGAACGAGACGAAGCAACAAGCGAAAAAGCTGTTCTGGCGGTCGGTGTCCAGCATGACACAGGCAATCGGGCTGTACAAAAATTGCTTGCTCGTGTAAAGCAGCTTCGGGAGGTGGGTTGGATCATATGACAAACTTCCGGATCTAGACTTAGCCGTGCAGTCCCTTGTTCGTTCCCAGGTCTTGGTGACCTATTCGTCTCCAGCCGGAGCTGGCCCACTAATGCAGCATGCCCGGCATAGTGAAGTCGTGCCAAGTCGAAGCATACAGTAACTGTGCCGAAGTCTTTGTCGCGGCTTCCGCCAGGACATGCCTGGACTCTGCGAAATTGAGTGCTTCAGTTTCCCTTGTCTCCGCACGTCAGGTCCAGATTGTTGAACCCACTGGTAATTGCTCTCGCACTGCTGCTGCCTGGAGCTTTGCCAACATGCTCTGTCAGGGCGATCTGGGCATGTTCGTGATTTGTACGAGTTGCCTAGCCTAGGTTCGAGCGCCGGAGGCTCTTGCAGCGCGACAGTGCGCCTGTTGCCCAAGAAGGTTACAGAGAAACTGTAAGCGCCTTGTCGAGTGGAACACGTTGGAGCACCAGCAAGTGCTGTCTCAGGCTCATCATAGCAACCTCTATGCTTGCTGCGGTCCGTGGCCTACTGATGAAGTCTCGGTTCAAAATGCAAGACTATTCGGCTTTGTGGAGACAGTCCCTCATTTCCCTTGCATGGTCCAGGCTTTTGGCCTGTTTGGCACAGCCGTAATCGCGCGGATGTTGCAGCTGCCGAAGGTGCCAGACGGACATTCCCTTGGGCAGATCGTCTCCTTGTATAGTTGGTTCTTTCCTTTACATAAGTAGACAGGCTAGGCCACATGATATAGTGAATTGAACTGTGCAGAGGCCTTGGCTGCAGCGCCGCGGGCCCAGTTTTCAGAGATGAGTGAAAGTGTCCACCACAAAATAGTAGCGGCCCCAAACTTCGAAGTTTCATGCTGTGGGCCACGTTGGCTAGTACCCCCTCTGTATAAGGTCTGTGTCGCGCTATTGCACAGCACCCTTGGCATTGGCAGTCCCAGTGCTCAGAAGATGAGTGTTTGGTTCCTTTGTTGTCTTGCGTTGTTGTCTCTCTGTTTCCAAAGGTATCTTCCTCGTTGCACTCGTCAGCACCACTCACCGTGGCCATGGTGCTCTCCCGACATTCTACGGCTGCTGCGGGATTTTACCACTTGCAAGTGAAATCGCCAACGTCTTTGCTTTCGAAGGTCGTGGCATCAGGCTTTCTTGGGATTTTCGTGGCCAGGCCTTTGCTAAGCAGCTTGACGGCACTGCAATTGTGTGGCTTACTGCCGGGCGGTGAAAAGCCACATCAGCATCAAGTTGGGAATGCAGTCTCGTCCTTGTCGTTTACACGTCGCCCCGTTTGTGGAAGTCCGTTGATTTCAGGATGGCTAGGGGTGGATGGCTCGAGAGAGCGTGGACTGGCAATCGGAGCAGTGCGGGATCCTTAGTCCTCGGAAGAACCCTGCAAGCGGTTGCTCGAGGTCCAGGGTCCCCGAACATAGGGTTGGCCTGGCTTCCCGAACTCAGGTCGCATGTGCTCGGCACAGTGACCTTGGCTTCTTGGGACGAGACAACCGCAGTACCATACTGTGCCCGGCTTGAGCTTTGCATGTCATGGAGCAGTGGGCCCAGTGAAGCGGAAGAAACTTGGAGATGTCACGAATTCCTGAGGCGCATTATGTTTCGTCCTGTCCAGCGGTTTCGCTGCAGCTCTTGCTGCTTTGGCCCTAAGCTCCTGCACCGGGCAGCGCAAAGAGTTCCAAGCATTGCTCCTGTGTCTGCTACAGCTAACGCTCCAGGCTATACCGCCGGTGCAAGTCGCATTGCCCAATCCTTGGCTTCAGAGTCGGCACGGGGGAAGCTTACTTAGTTGGACCGGACACATCGTCAGGCTGTGGGTCTTGCCTTCTTGAGAAACCTGGCAGTGAGCAGCTGTTTCCAAAGCTGATAGCTGCTTCCTTGGTACTGCATTGGCAGGCTGTGTGCAGCGGCTTTCGGCCGTTCCTGATTTTACGTTAAGAACCTACCAAGACCTTCCAGCCATGACATTGTGGGATTCGCAGCAGCGCCAATGTACATGCCACATCTGGATGCCATTTTCTTGCTGCAGGGCAAAGCACCCCGCAAAGCGTCCGTACCTTGCACGGTGAATGTTACCAGAGTGGCAAAAAGTGGGACAACATCATGGAGTCAAGGAGCGCAATGAGAACAAAGCTTGTTCAAGATGAGCAGACCAGAGAAAGTGACCGGAAGCGTCTTCACGTGTTCAAGGAATCCCTTTGCGAGCTACGAGTTCTTGCCGGCAACACATTCTTTTCAGACCTAATTACTGTAGGAGACCGAAGCAACAGTTCGATATTCCACTTTGGTGTCAAAGTTTAGATTCCGGCGAACACCAAGACGCACGGGACCGGGGCACGGTTTGACTTGCCATGCAGGCCTTGTCTCTGCTTCTCTGCTTGTGCATCAGCCCCGTAAGCACACCTGAGTGAGGCCCTATATGGCGATGACTTGGTTTCTGCAGCTGAGCTGGCCGCGAACTTCATGGAGCCTTGCCAACCCCGGGTGCAATAAAGGAAAATGTCGAGGCAAGGCACAGGTGTGGTTCAAAACCCCGCCGCTTCTTGCGCCGTGGGGGGCAACTTGACTGGAGCCTCATTGGTTTCATTTGCGTTGGCTCCGTCGGCTTGTGATTGGTGTCCATTCTCGCGGTGTGACATACCTGAGACACATCTGAGGAGTTGAATGGTTGGACGGCCACATGCCGCCTATGCCACAAAACTCCCACGCTGGACCAGTGCCGGGCGCACATCAACAGCGCAACGCACCAAACGCGGGTGCATTACGCCGCTGCGGTGACCTGGCAGCAGCGGAAGCTTTTGGACGCGATGATTACGACCACAAGTTGGGTCAGCTTGTTCGGGACACATGACTTTCAGAACATCAAGCTTCGGATGCCCAGAATGATGTCTTCTGCCTGGGAGTGCGGCCGCCAGGGGTCATTATGCGGCCGTGGTGGCAAAGAGCGCCCAAGGAATAAGAATAGTTTGAACAAACCATCGCATCCACGGTCGCGTGCACTGGTGGGAAAAGTGTGCGCATTCAGAGCGCCGTGCCCGAGCGAGGAACCATATGCGGGGCCGGTGGGCTTTCGGGCAGATCGGGGTGACGAGACGCGATTCATCCACTTCCTGTTCTTCCCGTTCTCCTGTCTCTGCTGCACAGGTATAGACGGTATAGCCCGTCCAAGTTGTTGTGTGTGTCATGCATGCATCGTTCGAGCACTGTAATGTCCCTTGTAAGCAGCATAGCCCAAAACAAGGAAGGTGCAAAAATCATGGGGCCGAACATGGTCATCAATTCTTAAATGATAGCACCTGAGTTGATCCAAACTAAGAAGTAAGGACCCTCTTGCGCACATACCCGACGACCAGCTCGAATTCGCGGTCGTGGAGAACAACGTCGCGATCTGCAGATTATGCGGAAAACAGATGCAAGAATCGCATCTGTATTCCGGCATCCACCAGAAGAGGGTGCTGCTCCTCGGCGTTAACAAGTTTGCTTTGTCATTGCTGTGAGTGCATGTGTCTTGCTTGCGCGTGGCACCAATGCAGGCGAGATAGGCGAACCAGAGCAGAAGCACACAGTTCGCGAAAACAGGCGAGTTCTGGATTCTGAACATGGTCCTGTCGGAGTAGCCCACAATTATCGTCAGGCACTGGGAGGAACTCGCGCCACCTTGCGTTTAAAGGATTCGCAGGAAGTGCAGGCCGGCCATGCTGCTGCACATGTCTGACTGATACGGCTTCGATGATATACGGCATCATGCCGACTGTGACCGTTCACAAGAGCAGCTTTCAGATTTGAAAAACATTCCTCGCATAGTTGAGTTCGATTCCCTTTCTCGTGTGGCAGGGCCAAAAGCGAATCAGCGCCCAACAACCTGCGGCACCGAATCCGCCCGCGGAAGAGGACAGAATCGCCAATGTTTTTCCATGCGGATGTATTGCGGGTGGCCAACAGATGCGAGCATTGGATAGGAGCCTGTGGACGGCCTTGCCGACCGCGAGGCACTTGCTTCAGTCTCGGTCAAGACCTGCCGCTCTGCACGCAATCTTTCGTTGTTGGTTTGTTGGACCAGCGATGCGGTGCTACGTATGTAGCACGATAGTTCAACACGGGAAGTGCTAGTTGCCGCTGCTGGGCGATGAAGGCCATGTGGGTTTACAGGCCTGCATTACATGTTTCCGTCCGCAATCTCACGTCGCAGGTGTTGCGGCTGTTGCAGTGGCGAATGTCACCACACCGCCGGTGGCAGGAGCCCCCTCAAAACAATCGTTGGCGTTTCCGATGGTTGGCGAAGATGTCACGTGCCACGCCAAAACTGCAGTTGAGAGACATTATTAGTTCGATATGTTGTTGCCACGCAGCAATATATCCAAGAACAGCGTCATCGGAAGAGGCGGCTGGCTAAGTCGTGATTCTGTGTGCGATCGTGTCATGGCATGACTGACAACCGCTACAACCAGTGCTGCTGCTATTGTTGCTAGCATGGTACCAGTGTGGCGGTTGTAGTTGTGGCACGCCTTTTCAAAAGCCTCAGAAGCAGCAAAACGAACAGTGGCAGCAGGAGTTGCAGTCCTAGTCTGCTGTGGTGTTGGTTGTGCTAGTAGAAATGCAATGACGAAACCTCTGTTCAGCATCGGCCTCCGTTCGCTGATGCTCTACAGCAGAACTTGCGGACATTGTGTTCGTTGATAGTACCGTTTAGCAGGAGCTGGACAACTCGGCTTCTGTCGGCGGCTCAGAAAACGCGAGTAGCACAAGCGAAACAACAAAAGAACGTAGCAAGATGAGCTCACAAATGAATTTTCAAACAAATAGCCGGGACGCTGTCATGCCATCGCACAAGCCGGATCATAGAGCTGTGTCTACACCATAGGGCAGCTAAATTTGATGCCTATTGTGAGGCATGGTTAACAACTGCACCGCCACGGTGGAGCAGTGATCCGGTCGACTTGTAGTAAGTAGCCTCGTCTGGGTCAGACTCTTCCACTTGCCCTGCTGCGCGGGCGCTAGAAACCAGGTCTTGAGTGCCGTACTTGTAAATCACAATCTTGAATGCATCCTGGGATACGTGTTTCCGCAGCAGGGGGGCGTTCAGGTTTGTTGTACTATGTTTGCGTTTCATGATGTACCTTGGGGATACAGGATACTGTCTATTGCTGTGGTGTCTGCATGGTTGCGGAAGGCAGATAGGGCGAACTGCCCGGCAAACCTCGCCTTGAAAACTTCGCCGGAATTCATGACGAAATCATGAGGGCTCACATGAGGGGATTGTCGCAAGATGCGGTTGGCTTGTGGGGCAGTGTCATGAAAGGGACATCTTGGCCTTGAACCTCCAGCAGGCTGTGCGCAGACCCATGCACCATTCCAAAGCAGAAGCGCAGTTTTTGCACTCATTGTGTTTCAAAGCTTCAAAGCCGTCCGCAGCGAAAAACAAATATTTGAGTACGCAAAGCTTTGACCAAAATGCCGCCTCGATGCCAAACCGAGCTTGAGCGCTGGCGCCGACAGCTTTCGAAGCGTGTCGACCATCCGCATGCCGGTTCCTTGGCAGATGTACATCGAGAACTCGCGTGTTAATTGTGGCGTGGTTGTGGGGAGGGTTGTTATGCACCATGCACCGTGGCTTGTCGTCTGGCATGCATGAATAATAGTTAATATTTTTATAAATGCGCATATGAGCTTTCCGAATTGGGTTGCTGGTTTAAACCTATCAACAGCAAAGTGTGTTGTGCCGTGGAGAGGGGTCTACGTCAATGTGCGAAATCGACGAAAATGGTTGGTCTTCGTGCTGATGCGTTTCATTTCGGTGGACACCGAGGCTGTCCACGAGATGTCCCGAATCAAGTGGCGACTTGGTTTTGTCAAGCACAGGATATCCGGTGGCTTGCAACTGCGCATGCTTGTTCCCAATGCACATGCTTGTCTCCAAGGATGTCGCCATGCAGCTCGCCAGAACAGTATCTCAATTGCGCTCCGAGCCAGATGGGTCGCGAGCTCGTTTGGTGTGTGTTCTTGAGTAGCGTCGTTGTTCCATAAGCTTCGGAACACCCATCAGGCCAGAGTTGTATCGCCTCAACGATGCCGCAAACGAGCTGATGCGAATGCTGCCCGTGACGCACAGCACCAGGAAGGGTGGTCACTGCTGTGTGGGGTTAACCTTGCTGGTCAGCGGCCTGGGGCCATGGTTTCCGGTTTCTGGTTTCCATCTTTCTTGCAACGATGTGGAAGGTTCTGCATTCGATCTTGAGGATCGCCCAGCCTCTTCCGCTGCCATGTGCGAAAGGAGAGCGGCGGCTCGCGAAGGCTTGGTCCTCCCCGGACGCCCGAACTATCGTTACTTTGGACGATGCGCGGAGCTCCGATATGTGGTCGAAGCAGCCCCTTGGCCTTGTGTTGTGTTTTCGCATTAAGTCAGTTCCATGAAACACGAGAGTTGAATCGAAGTTGCAGTTGGCCGGTGGCTTTTACAATGCTTCACTTCAAGTAGCTATTCCTGGGTGCAAACCGTATGGGGGTTGTAGATGTGCCAACGTTGGAGTGTCAAGCGTGCTTGAGAACTGCCTCAGATATTTCAGCTCAGCTAGAGGTATCTAGCGGTAACAACCCCCATCCAGAAGTTTGTTATGATGGGTCCTACAGTCTTGGAGTGACCGCGCATTGGTGCATTTTCGAAATTCTGTTGAGCTTGGACTTCGAAAGCCTTTCTTGTCGATCCAGGCCCCCAAGATTTGGTCTCGGAGCGAACGGTCACCAAACCTCATTGAAGCCTGGAACGAGGTACAAAGTCTACATGCTGATAAGAAGGAGGGGCCAGAGCCCGCAGGAGAAATTGCCATGGCTGAGGCGGCGGGAGTTTTTTTGGCCTGTTTGGCCACTGCCTGCATCATGCTCTTTGCAGATGCGCATCGACCGCAGGCTGCGCCTTCAGCGATTCCAACGATGCAGAACGGCTGTGTCTTGCCTGCAGAGAACTTTAGAGACGATGTAAGTGCCGATTCTGGTACTAGTAATGCCTTCCGTGATGACCGTTTGCCTGGAATTCCGCAGAGCCAAGGTTTGACCGTGCAGCTGCTTGCGAGGACCGCCGCCCTTGTGTTCTACTACTCGTACTGGTTGGTATCGCTGCGAATGTGCTTAACAGTAATCGCATCATCCGGTCCTGTGTGGGCCGCGAGATGAACATGATGAGCCTTTCGTTTTGCATGCGTGCACTGGTTCAATACGGGCTCATTGGAAGCTGTGTGTGGCTCAAGCCCAAGCCAACATGGCTGCAAGCGCAGCTTCTTCTCAGCATACGCCACGCTCCTGGTTGAAAGCATCGGCGTGCACCTGCAGCTTGCGCAACTTTTGGAATCACCGATTCCAAGCTAAGGATAGCGAACCGCACGGAGGAAATAGAAGATCCGATGGAGACGTCGCAGGTCCCGACCGCAAAGACTCAGTGCAAATAGGGGGTGAAGTCCAGCAGAACAGCAGCTGTCCCAGGCCCCGTCCCAAAGGAACAGCTTCCAAATCCTCGTGGTGTCCGCCTCGGCCATGAGTTCCGCACCATCGGATTAACACTTTGATTTCCGCCAAGGCCCTGGGAAGCATCGTTCCCTGGACTCTGGTTGCCTCCATAGGCACTGACCGGACATGTAGAGGGCACGGAGGGAGCGTATGGGGCACGACACGTAGGCAGCGGCATGCTGACGCCTCTCAGAACCTTGGCCCAAATGGCTGCACTGTGCACGGAGCTGTTGTAGCACTCTCCTTGGCATTTGGGCGGGCTCTGTGCTCCTGACCGAGGCACATATGTCAGCTTGAACTTTTTCGCACAAAGGCACACGGACATCCCTCCGCAAGAGCTTACATGTCAGATTGACATGAGCAGCTTGGCCTGTGCATTATGCCCATTTGTGCATGTCGCCATCGATCGAAGTCAAGGGCTCTTGAAACTTGTGCTGGCGGAGAAGCTGCCAAGCAAACAGGCCCCCAACACTGCCAACTGGCACTGGTGGATGGCAACCGGCTGGTGACTGTGTGGCTTGCTTCAAATATCTGAGCAGTTTCAAGCAACACGTCAACATACTCCGCCCCGGTTTGATCACGAGATATCACGAGGTTGGCTTTCATCATGCCCCTGTGCCAGTTTGTCACGCTGTGCCTTGGAACAAAGCTTCTCTGTACTTGCCTCCTTTGGGTGGAAACTTGTCATGTACGCTCCAGGCCATTGGTTGGCGTTCTTAGCGATGCCTATGGCCGCAAGAAGACGATTTTGGCAGCTTCTGGCTGCAATGGCCCTCGTGAACTCGCCAAGTGCTAAAGGATGCTAAACGCTCTTGCAAGGAAGTTACTCCGACCTTTGGTTTCGGCTGTCCTTTGTTTCATGCCAACTTCATCGTACAGGTCAGAGGTGCCATGTAGTTCAACCCGAACTCAGGTTTATTGCCTCTCGAATGTGACTTTGGTATTCACCGATCTGAATCTTGGCTGCAACATCTTTTGTCAACAGAGCGGTTGCAGATGGGATTGTGTGCTCAGCGACCAGTGTTTGGTACCCGTTCGGTGATGCATCTCATCCTGTTCTGAAGCTCACCCCCGTGCAACGGACAAGCCCTCTGATCTCTCGAGAAAGAGCCCGTGTTCAATGCTCGCCTCCGTTCCGTTCTCTATGACTCGATCTATGAGGTTCATATTCTTCAATGTCTCTTATTGGTTTGCCATAGCCGCGGCCTCAGGATGCCAACTTACCTTAACACTTCTCTCTGAGAGTTCCTGGCGAAGCTTGCGTCCCAAGGCACTCAACCCCTTCCTCAATGCCCAGGCCAGACCTCATGTCATAAGGGTTTGGGGAGGTTTGGGGTTTAGGGACTCGCTGTGGCATATGCGTAGTGCAGGTGTAAAAGGGACTCGCTGGCTGTGCAGAAACGGGACTTGCTGACTGACACTGAGAGCCCAGCTGCAAAAAAGGCACATAAAAGGGTGCGCCACCAGCTCATACCAATGAAAGCAAGTATGGAGGGAGAGTCCGCTCCGCTGATACCCGGCATAGCCCGGCGCTGGCGGGGTAAGACTCATGCAATGCTCTGTAGAAAGGAACAGAAGAATAAAGCCCAATGACCGAGCTGAAAAGACCACTGCGGCTTCAACATTGGGATTCACTCACCCTGCCTACGTGCCCGATTTCGTTTTCGTCGGCTGTGTCCTCTCAGTCGTCACGCACCCAGCGGGTCGGAGCAAGCGCAATGTTCCAGAAAAGGGAAGCCCAAGAACTGAGAAAGCAGGGAGCTAAGGGCGGACTTCGGTGTGTGTGTGTGTGTGTGTGTGTCTCAGACAGAACTGCCTCCACACGCAGACATGGCCAACGCCGGCTCGCTCGCGAACTATCGGAGAGGGTCAGGTGGTTGTGTCGCGAAGCGAAATTGGATGCCACATGCCCCTGCCTCGACAGACACGCCTGCCCCTTTGATCTGCATGCGATAGTCAAAACTGACACATTTGACATGTCGTGCAATGCCTCGTGTCCTGCAGCTCGTCACCACCGTTCTGAACTCCACGTGCGTGGACCTATTGGAAAGCCACGAGAGATCGGCAGGCGGGAATAGCCTAGTGCATCCAGATAGTGCTTTTCCATTCTACAAGTAGTTGCAAGGCCCTCCGGTGTTCCGTCTTACAAAGTGGAACCACAAAGAACGTTCTGTGGTTTTGCGGCAGGAATAGCTCTCATCTCTTCGATGGATACCGTGGCGTATGTGATAGGCGGCCGTTCGACACAGCTGCCAATGCATGTAGGCGACAAAAAGCATAAGCAAGCAGATGCAGCAGGCTTGCTGGTGGGAATGCATTTTACTTTGCATCAGACCTTTCTGATTGCAAGTTGCAGCCTGGATGCAATGCCACACAGCGTCTTGCGGAAGTGGCAGAAGGCGAAAGAGACTCATGGTAATCACTTCCCTAATACATCTCCGCACAAGGTAGACAGGTTGTTATTGCGGCTTGCCTGTCTCCGAACGAACCAAGGCATTGTTCCGTGTTGCATCGTTTGGTGCATCTTCGTCTTTCCGGAAACGCTACCTCCGGAGAAGCGTACGCTGTCCATAAACTATCGTGCAGGACTTACACGCTTGCAATATTTGGAAGTTGCGGTTCGTTGGAAAGGCAAGCGAACCGAGTCGCTTTGCTAAGGGAGTCTCTTGCCATGGGATCCACTACCGATTTTGCGACTGGGTCGCAGCCACGAGTAGACTGTCCCTTCAAGAAGTAGTACCAACGGACATGATTGGAAATCCTGGCCTCTGCCGACGACACGCAAAGCAAAACATCGACGTTTCTGCTGAGCTGGGCCTTGACTCTGCAATTCGAAGCAAGTTGGTTACTTTTTTTCTCCCGGAGCCTTGTTGAAGCTTGTATTCGCTCATCGAATGGGGGCTTCGTGTAGGCTGTCGGCTCTGTAGGCGGCCAGATGTGGGTGCCAAGCATTGCATAGCTTGCAGCTGGCAAATCAACCGAATTTCGTGGAAAATGCACACCCTGACACTGTTCTACAGGTGGCGAACCGGCACGCTGGCGCGCTTGTCGCTTGCCACGGCGATCGCGGCATTTGTGGATGAAAGCAGCTCCCGGATGATGGGGACCTATTACCAGACCCTCGGCATCACTGGGATGCTTGAAGTTCCTTTCTTTCTGTCTTGTCTGGGTGGCAAAAGCATCCACTGCAGTTAGTTGCCATCCCTCTTCCAAGGCGCGTGATGAATTGGACTGCGCAGGACTGGACTCACGAAAGACATCGCAGCATTCTTGTTACATGCAGTTGCGAGTAGTGTATTCGTGTTTGTCGAGACGCGCAAGCAGACGTATAAGTTTGACTTATTTGCGAGGACAGCTACTGGTTCGAGACATACTGGGACTTCAGCATGATTGTACCTCGAGCTCAATATGCCAGTCTCGCGAACTCCTGTGGAACCCTTTGCTCCGAAGCCGGACCTGCGCGGAGAGCAGGGGCACAGCAGCATCGGTGTATAAGACTGATTCTGGTATCATATGACTGTCCTTGCCGGAAGTCGGAAGAAGACCAACAATTGCATGAATGCATCACTGCGCGTGCGTGTGTTTGTGTTGCCCAGGTATGGTTGACCTTCATTTTCGGCCTTCTTGACGCCTGGCAGCAACGGTGCTGAGCGTTCTCCTCCAGCCTTCCCAACTTTGGCATGCCAGTGCCTGCCCACAAGAGATTTTAAAGCCTGCGGTCTAGACCATGCCGCCTGCCATCTTCACACGTTTGCTTGTGAATTGTGATCGATCAGCAACTCACATACTGCAAGTACCCCCCCCCCCGGGGCAGAGGCACCAATTAAACGCTGAAGGAGAATCGGGGATCATGTGCACTCCGTGCCGCAATGCAGGTCCTCTACATCGGAGAGATTGGAACCATGGCCTTCGGCCGACTAATAGGTCGCTAGGATGAAGTTCAAGCAGTTCACCAGGATGTATTGGGACGGAAGCGTTGGCGACCGGAGTTGTAGGAAAGATGCTCTTGCAGGGGATGGTCACGCTGACATGCCCGGACATCCCTATGTACAGGTTCTAGTAGCTGTTATTGGCAGCAGAAGAACTGGCTCAGGCAGCGTCTACTGCTTCATTGCAGCAGCTCGATCGGTCAGGGGAGGACACGTTTGTAGACAAGTCTTTTGGTGACCCGTGCGTGCGTGTGTGTGTGTGTGTGTGTGTGTGTGTGTGTGTGTGTGTGTGTGTGTGTGTGTGTGTGTGTGTGTGTGTCTGTGTGTGTGTGGCACGTCATTTCATTGCATCTTGCATGCCTGGTGATGGTGGCAGAGAGACAGCTTTGCACATGGCTTTATACTCTTGGAGCGCGCCGCTTGCAAGGTCTTTATCAGAAGGCCTTCGCTGGCCAGACACTTGAGACCTTCATGATGCCTCCTTTACAAGCGCAGTCTGCTAGTTTTAGTTATTGGTGGCTATAGTGATTTGACTGCCAAGGCAATGATCAACTGCCTCATCTGTGCAGGCAGGATCGGGCGAGTACTCTTCTTCGGTTGACAGTTTCAGATCTCAGGGCCGATGACCTTCGCTTTGCCAGCAGTGGCGGGGTTGAAGAGCCGGCTCGTCGGTGAGAGCGAGCAGGGCCGAATGCAGGCAGCGATCAGCACGGCCTGCCGGAAGCAAGAGTCGTGAGATGAGACGAGCAGCCAGCAGCATTCCTTGTGCGGCCTGAGGTCTACATCGTCTCCGGGAGCTGCGGGTGCTCTGGGAGCATGAAGAATGTGCCTATATATGGCGTTTCGAGCGAAGCAAGTAGAACAGATTGATGCTACAGGCTACAGGGACTTCGTACGTCAGTTTGAAGTCTTCCAGCTCAGGTCCATTCTCGGAGGATTTATCTTCGAAGCATTTGGCAATGTCAATGCCCAGGGAACATTTGACAAGATGTACCTCGTGGCACTCTTTCTCGTCGTGCTGAACATTGCAGGAATGTTTCTCGCTTGCAGGAGCCCATCGATTTCTAAAGTTTCTTGCATGTGCTGTCAATATTCTTGAGGTTGGTATCTTTTGCGTTGTTCTACGACCTGTTTGGAAGAGCCTTGGTGGAACGGCAAGCCGGGTTCCGTCCTAATCTATCCGTGTAGCAGTGTAGCCAGGCAGAGCTGCAACTCAGAGCAGCAAAGCTTCAAACGTCAGACTGCCAAAGGAACTCACCACCTCATGGACGAGCGCGCCAGACAACTGTTTCCAAGCATGAAGCGACAATTGTCAGAGGATGCAATGCTGGCCGCAGGGCTCGAGAATAGCCCCGAGACGCAGACAACGTATGGAAGCACTAGCGCGGCTTAGCCTGTTGAGACATGCTGATCGGCGCCACGTGGGCCAAGAAAAGTTGTCTTCCTGCCTGGACATGCTGGATGATGCCACCTCTGTATTTTCTAGGTTCCCAGGTCCCCTACAGACTCAGACCGAGCTTATCGCACCGATTTGGGCACGCCGACACACACACACACAAATAGAGATGCACAGACGCACAGCCACACTTGCCGACATGCACGCCCACCCCCCCACCCTAGAGTGCTGCCTTGAGCCCCAATGCTAAGGAAAAGGAGCGCAAAGCGGATGATAGCTTCAAACTAGTAGTTGGTGGAATGCTTTGCCAGCAAAGGCGACTCGTACATGCTATAGGCTATACTGTAGGGTTTTCGTGGGTGCAGGTCGGCCTTTGGATCGCTTCGATGGCGTCGCGCTGTGCGTCTGGGCACCTGGTGTTCCCCTGCTTTTGTCTTCGTGAGATCTACAAAAACCCATGGAGCTCGGGAAGCACGGCAGCAGAATTGCAACAGTATGGGGTACTGATGTAGGAAAGTACAGCGATATATGCTAATCGCATCTAATCGCTATTGCGTGATGGTAGACTTTGACTTGCAACACGTATATACTGTGGCTTTTGAAACTGCAGATGCCCGCATGTAGTGTACTCGTAGCTGTGTTTCAGGCTGGTACATATGATACATATAGGAAGTGCAGCTATCGTCGGATGAGTACCGCAGGGTCTTTGCTGTATTCCCTTGACTTGGTGTCTGCTGCTTGGCTCAAACAACAGCACAGTGCAGCACCGGTCCATGCCGGGAGCTGAAGATGCAAAAGAAGCAGTACTTCTGTTGGCTTGTGACTTTGTCCATGGAGCTGTCTCGAGGCCTGCTTGCTGCTCCTGCTTTCCCGAAATGGGATCCGGAGCATGCAAGGGTGTTTGCGTCGCGGTCCAGGAGCGTCACTGATAGTTGTTGTTGTGCTCATGTAAGATGTGTACGTTGGCCACAAGGATGCTTCGGATGACGACTTGATGCAGTTCTTCTCAGCCTGGCCATCAGAGCAGCGCAAGCGTGTCAGCGGCCTCCTGAGCACCTGCAGCAAGAAAGGCCTGTCTGAAACTTTCCCGAAATGTGGGGGGGGATGCTAGAGATCCGCCGGGCGCGGACAATGAACGAGACTTTGGGGGAATGAGCCTGCTTTCATGTGTATTTCTCCAAGTTTGACTGTGGCTAAAGGGAGTCTCGCGGGATGTCTTGAGCAGGAGCTACCAAGTAGCAGCAGCCAGCAGCAATGAAAGAGCACCGCAAGACATGGAAGGCACTGGCGACATCGATGCAGCGATCGCAGAGGCTGAAGACCAGGTCGCCGCTGAAGGCGCGAGGATGTGCGAAGTTTTCGGGGGAAGCTCGAGCTCGTTTCTCTCCAGAGAAGGAAAGAAGACTGAAGCTACGACTTCAGCTGACCAGAAGTGGCTTGGACTGCTTGGACATCGGACTGCTTCTGCTTCTGCTGCATTGAGACAATTACGGCAAAAGAGCTGAGGCCTGCCGAAGCTACCAAGACCCTGGACGAGAAGCAGGTAAAGCAGGCAGGGCCCAGGGAGCCCAACCGACGACTGGGCGGGGCATCGGCATCACAATCTACCCGGAAGCTTTCCAAGGTACACTCCGCCATTCGCTGGGGCAAGCCTGTAGAGGAAATCCAGAAGGCAGGGCCAGATTGGGGAATTGGCAGTAGAGCCAGGCTGAACCAACTCCCTCCAAGTATCAGTAAAGTGATTGGTGTAAGTGGTTGGCCACCCTTATTTGCAGATTGTGAACGATCTCGGCATTGACGCTACCATGACAGATGCTGCAGCAGCGGCTTGGTGGCAAGTGCACGGTACTGTAGGAACACAATCGTGGCCCACTCGGGTTCCTGAAACGTTCCTTGAAGGCCGTCGATGCTCAGAATGGCAATCTTGCCTTGCACATCGCTGCGCAGAATGGCCACATGGGGCTGACAAGCTTCCTGCTCGACAGCCGCGACTCACTTGCAACCATTGCACTTCTCACATGCCCGTCCACATCTTGCCACTTCAAAATACACAGACCTAGCTGATCTCAGGTGCCAATGTCAACGCGCAGAATTTCAACGGCCAAACGGCTTTGCACATGAGCGTCGAATATGCAACTTGTCATGCATGCATGGAGCGCCTAGAGAGAGCGGATGCCCTGCGCACAAACTTATGCATGTACGTTGACCATCGCTTGGACACTTAGTGAAGTTCAGTTTCACAGCATCCCGGTGTTGACAACGTGAACATGTAACAGGCTAAACATCCCAGACAGCAGTTGCTGTTCCATCCCGTCCAGAGTACGCAAAATCGAGCGACACTACCTCAGCCCCTGGCACAAGGATATGTACTTCCAGACCAAGCTCCTCCTCGATGCAAAAGCAGACCCCAACCTCGAAAACAGTGGTGGCCACAAAGCGCTTACAGGCCATCAGTGCATGCACCCCATACTGTCGCAGGCAATCATGGGATGTCCTTGGTTGAGGTTTGACTTTCGACATGATTGCAGATCTTGGCCTTGGTGTCCAAAGCTTAAGCTAAGAGGCCTGGAGGGTGCCAAGACTGGCCAAGATGCGTGGGACAACCCGATGAACATCCTCAAAGCGGCCGGCGACACAGAGGTCCCCTGGTGTAAGTGAGCCGATGGCTTTTCGTATCATTGTGTTTTGCGGTATGCTGGACTGGATGTTTTCCGCAACGACAACGCGGTCGCGCTCCCTGCGCGGTGCCTGTCCCAGGAGGATCTCAAGCTTGCCTTCGAAGCTTTGGCTGCTGCGGATGCCAAGGTCAGCACAGTCGGATGACATGCCGAAGCCGTAATCAGATAGTCCATTGCATCTACGCTGACACGGCCTCTTGCAGAAGCTAGAGCTACAGGCAAGGGGCCGGAATTTCTGAGAAGCATTCGAGCGCATTGACTTTACTAGCTTCTCAAGATGCCCGACACAATTGCAACTCGAAAGCATTCACACGATTCATACGTCATATTATTCAAAGGACACTGGCCACAGATCGCGGCGGGAATCACCCGTAGAGAACCAAATCATGCTGTCCCAGGACTTGGACCGGGTTGTGCTGGCTCAGACAGGCATGTGCTTCGAGAAGCAGGGTTTGATGGGAGTTGTCAGAGGATGGAGCTTCCGGGGTTTCCAGAACTTCGAGCACCACCTGCCACATGAGCAGGCATGCGCAAGCGAAAGCAGTGCCCCCAGCACTGGAACGCTGACCGCTTCAAGGACCGGCATCTTATTGTCCTCCGTCCCAATAGGAGAGACTTGCCACCGCCGGAACCCAGGAGATCATGCAGAAGTTTTGATTTCATCAGCCGAACCTGTCGGAGTTCTCACAGACGAGCTGGTGACGATTGCCTGCGGCACGGCTTCAACAATGCAGCACTATCGCATAATCATCGGACAGATAGCCGCAAGTCTGAATGCACTCGGCGACATGCTTAAACTTGAACACTGTGCGACGGCGCGAGCAGACTACTCAGGTTCTGCCAGCCGAGCCAGAGCATGGTCAGAAGCTGAAACATCAAAAATGCAGTCTACTAAGCATAGACCATCCATTGGTAAGTTCCAAGATGGAACTTCTGTGCTGAGCATCAGATGGCCAGTGGGCCCATTTGTGAGAGCAAAGATGGGATGCAAAGATTGGATAGGATAGGAAGCTCAAGCACAAGTAGATGTTCTGCAAGAGTAAGCAGTGCTGCCTGATTGCTTGGTTGCCCAGCGCACGTGCGGTTTTGCCGCTGACCATGATCCATAGCGACGTTTGCAACGCCAGGGGCAGCGCGCTAATCCACGCCAAGACAGCAGTCAACGTATTCCTTGCAGCTCTGCCTCTAGCTTTACGATGGCAGCTGCCACGCAGCCTGTGTTGTACTTGCCTCTGCATTTTTTTACACCAGGCTACGCTGCTGCGAGTGCTGACTCGCACGAATTATTTCGGAGCTTCTCCGGCCGCCTGAAAATATTGGGACCTACATGACTGGCACCAGACCACATCCCAATTACGGATTTGCTTGGCCGCATTCCCAGGAGCAGCTGAAACATTGTGAGTCCCTGCCCAAAGACGCCGGGCCTTGGAAGAAGACGGGCATGCACTGTACAAGAGGCCCTAAATCATGCAATACCAGCCTAAGACAGTCGGTGTTGTTCGAGGGATCTCGGGCTACGAGGCGGGCCGCGAACATGCCTTCCTCTTCCACCTAAGAGTCTACGGTCTATGTATCAACTGTAAATGTCAGCTGCTTTCGCAGCTGACACCCTCGCTTGGAGTCCGGAGGCAATGCTTGTGAATTCTGCGCAGGCGGCTTCCTGATGACATGTCTGACCATTGTGAAAGTGCAGCAGGCTGCGTTGGAAGCGATGAGAGTTACGCTCGTTTCAACCAGCATGTGCAGCTTCAGCCAGAGTAAGACCGCTTCGTTCTTCCTAGCTTTTGTAGTTTCAGAGATTCAGGCTGCAGCACTCAGAGCGGATGGCTTTGCGGACCTTGTGCGAACGTGCTAACAAGACCATGACCATAAAAAGGGGCTCTGACGTTTTGCAGCCGTACAACAGCAGGCAGTGGCAAGGTGCATTTAATGGCTGGGGCAAGTGTGGATCGTCTTGCCCAGGTCTAACTGCCAGCCGACTGGAAGCAGTGCGGGAGGTGCGGTATCTTCTTAAGGTCTGAGCAGGCATCCTTTGCGTGGGGAATTTATTATACTACGGAGTGAATGTTTGTGAACTTGTTCTTCCTGTACCAACCGTTTACAACAAGTTTTGGGAGTTGAAAGCGACGAGCGCTACCCCCTAGCAAGCTCATAAATGCTTTTCCTTTTAGAGCTTTCGACTCCCTCACCATGCGACAGTCTTATGTGTAAACTATCCATGTTCCGCGCAGCGCAGACTTGCATGCCAGCACGTGCTGACCTGCATTCTGTCGTTGTAGTTCTTTCGACGTTTGTTCGACTGGCCGTTGCTGATTCACTCCTCGTGCGTGGCTGACAAAGACCAAAGACACAGCCACAGGATCTTCTTCAAGCACGTGCCAGGCGTGCGGTGCCGGCCCAAGGGAGGATTTGTTTATGCGTCTATATCCTTACGAAAGGCATGTACTTGGCTGCTTAGATCGGTGCTAGACGACCGGGTTTTGCACGTTGCACCATCGAGCCATTGATTCGCCAATGGTCGGAAGCTTTTGCTCAAGCGGGAGTCGGGTCATGGCCTTTGGAAGAGAAAACTGAAGGCATGGCCACAGCATGACCTGCAAGGGTTCCTGACCATGTCGAAGCTCGAGCGTTGAAGCATAGGTATGAGCATCACCACAGCTCCGGTCGGGAGGGGGAAGGGGCCGGGAAGTCGCACCACCACACCTAACAGCCAACCAACTGCTAAAACCACGTTCCTTTGCAATTTGCACGTCCTGCCCCCGGTGGTGTTGCCATGGAAGGGGCCAAAGTGTACGTGCAAGATGCAAGGCACCTTGTGAAGCTGCCTATGCAAGCCAGTGTGAGTTGTGATCTAGTCTCCTGTTCTGTCAGGGGATCCTGGCAGCGGGGTACTGTCCAAGCTGCTTTGGGCAGCGGCCGCTACAAGGCACACAAGCGCGCGAATGGATCAGCTTTTGTGCGGTTCCAGCCTCCCGAAACAACAGAAGGTGGCGCTGCAAGGCTGGGAGGAGGATGAGCTCCAGACAAGCCAGACAACTGAGGCAATCATTTTGCTTTGGACATGGAATTTAGGGTTGGGTCTTTGCACGGGATCTTGAAGCTACCCTTTTCAACCTTGTCCGATCACAGGTGGACGCCTCCAATATGGAGGGTGGAATGCTGCCATTCCAGAATGCGGACATGCCAAACAATGGCTTCCCAGCCGGGCACTCTCCTGGCGCGGTCTGTTCTGGGCACCGGCAAGTGCATGAAGCATCACTTAGGACATGACTACGCTGGATCACTTGCATGAGCCGGCGCTGTTGCATAACCTACGTCGGCGATTCTTCTCCCAGGTTGGTCGGGGATAGCGATTGTGATCAGGCAGTGCTGTTGATCTACTGGAGCAGCTACGAAACCTGGCAACATCCTGGCTCAAACCAAGTCAGCGGCCCCATCATGCATGAGTGCTAACAGCTAACACAGCTGCGACAAAGATCGTCTTTCCCAGAGCATCGGACCTTCGTCTTTTAGCCGGGAATCGTGCTTTCATTTGCCATGGGCGGTGCTGTGGGTGGCGCTGTTGCCGCAACACGATGCTGCCAGGCTTGCGATCCTGATCATGACCAGGAGTCGCTCGATATGGACACCTCCGCAGAGGAATTTGTCGCAAGACCCTGGAATGATGAGACACTTATCAAAGAAGGCACCACCGTCCTAGCACTTCACACGTTTATGTAGTTCTCTTCGCCTCTCTCTACGTCTCAGTTGAAAGATGGGTAAGCTGGTAAGCCATCTGATTTCTGCACTTGTCGGACCAGGCTTGAAACAGGATCAGAGCTTGCTGGACATGCTACAGGGGCAGTGGTATCGAAAAGAAGATGGTCAACCCGTGGGCCAGATTTCTGGAGCACCCAATCTGAATTCGCACACTTCGTGAACGACTGAAATGTCGTCCTTTCAGAGTGAGCATTACCCCAGGCATACTTGGTGTGGAATCCTCGGTGGAAGTTTGCAGAAATGATCTCGCCCATCTTTGAGGACCTATCAGGACTCGCACTACTGCTGACTCCTCCATTCAAAGATGTTGATGGTGGGACTGAATGTCATGGTTATGGCAAACTTCATAGTGGTACGTCGTCATCCTGGTAATGGTAGTATTGCCGTAGCAACAAGAGCAGCATCAGCTGCACTAGCCGTGGCAGTGGCAGCAGCGGCAGCAGCAACGGCAGCAGTATCAGTGACGCAACAGCAGCAGGAGCAGTGGCTGGTAGTGTTAGTCGTGGCCGTCGTCGTCGGTAGTAGTACTCGTCGTCGTAGTGGTGGTGGTGGTGGTAGTCGCGTCAACAATGCTCAGATGAGAAGACACCAACAGCCCCACCAGCCATCCTCCATCCTCGAAGGTGCTGCTGTCTGGGGTTTTGCTTGCAGCGTGGTGGTAGCCGCCGTCGTCGTCGCGGAAGCAGTAGTAGTCAGTAGTAGTTGGCAGCAGAAGCGGAAGCCGAGGTAAAGGAGGCGTAGAGCAGTAAGCACTAGCAGAAGAGCACCGGGTTTGAGGAGCTTTGGTGATCGAGCTGGAGAGCCAGCTCCACTTTGGGCGGCCTTTTTTCGGCCCTGAAACCTTAATCAGCTGGGGCGATGGCGATCTCTGGGTGAAGCAGCAGTGAGAGAAATTAACCCGAGGAGGAACTCCTCGTGGAAGTGCTTCCCAAGCTGACGTCTATCACATTTTGCAGCAAACCTTACCTTCGACAAGTGTTCGTTGTAGACAAGTATATTTATAATCTATGCGCAGTTGGAGTGGGAATCCCGGCCTAGATTCCAGGCTGGACTTCCGAAAGCGACACATTGAAGCTCGAAGTGCCAAAGGTCATGATTCCGGGTGGCGTGCCAAAACCCAATGTCGTGCATAAGTATGTACAACGCAGCCTTACACTCACAAGTCATTGAACGGCAACGGCAGCAGGAATCCGCATTGCTTCTTGCCAACAATAGAGATTGGCGGGTGTTTGCTGGACAGTAGGAGTACTTCCAATCATGACGAGTGTAGACTAATGCATGAGCGAGTCAAAAATCGTGCAGCTAGGCTGACCGGCAGGCGGGAATCCACATGCGAAAGAAGCGGTGCCGAGAGTTGCATGCCGCACTACTGTTGATGCTTGGAGGCTTGCCCTTACACCTACACTGCAGACATTGTCATTGCAATGAATCCGTACCGATGCTTGCCATCAAGTTGGAGAGCTGGGCTGCGATGAGTAAGAGGTTCACTTTCGCAATTACCATGCCTGTCTGTATGACCAGGCGTACCCGGGGCTCTCACGGACCATGAAGGTAGCACAGACAAGACGGGTTGAAACTGAACGTGGGGTAAGGTTGGTTTCCTGAGTTGTACACGGACGACAAGCGAAAGGAGTACCTCGTTTTTGATCGGCCAAAGCTGGATCCTCATGTGCAGCTTGGCTTGGACAACTTCTGGTATCCCAGAAGCCACCGTGCAGATCTATATCATTATACCGAGCGGGTTCCGGCGTGAAGTCGCGTGCTAGGCCCACTCACAGTGGAACTTCACAGTCTCAGACACTTTGAAATGCTACACTGCCGGGTTTGAGTTTGTGCTGCTTCTGTTTGTATGCCTGTGGCGCGAGAAGTCTATAAAGAGCGCAAGAATGCAAAGCAGT